GGCCCTTTAAGGGCTCCGGGGCCGGGAGGGGGGCAGAAGAGTTTTCCTGGTGTTGGCCGGAGTGGCCACCAGAGCAAGCTGGGGAGGGCTAGCCTCCCACTAGTTCAAATTAAGTGGCTACACAGCCCTTAATTCGAACTAGCTAGTTCGAACTAGCGGTTCGTGTGTGTAGCGCCTATCAAAGTTAATTCGAACTAACGGCTGCTAGTTCAAATTAACTTTGTAGTGTAGACATACCCTGTGTGATGCTGGTGTGGGGTACCCAATTTGGAGGCAAGCTGGGGAGGGCTAGCCTCCCACTAGTTCAAATTAAGTGGCTACACAGCCCTTAATTCGAACTAGCTAGTTCGAACTAGCGGTTCGTGTGTGTAGCGCCTATCAAAGTTAATTCGAACTAACGGCTGCTAGTTCAAATTAACTTTGTAGTGTAGACATACCCTGTGTGATGCTGGTGTGGGGTACCCAATTTGGAGGGCAGATCCAGCCCCCGGACCTTAGATTCCCCACCCCTGCCCTAGATTTTTAATTGCTGAATGCAGGTGCCCTCATTCCTATCCCCCTCCCTGACTCTCCTTCTCCCCTCCCAGGAAACACCCGGCAATTAAAGGAGACTCACCCCATTTTTGTGAAAAGGCAATTGGCACACGTCTCTTTGCTAAAGCAGCAATAGTGGGTGGGAATCTGGCATCTCTCCTGTCAGAGGCGTTTTCCTCCCTCTCTCTGGCATCTATATAAGACAACGGGTTTCACGTCTTTGGGCACAGTCCAGTCAGCAAGAAGGGGACCAGCCCAGAAGACAAGACTCCCAAGGAACTTCTGGAACCCGGCTCGGAAGAGAAGTGCGGTCCCAGCTCCCGGAAATCACATTGAGGCCGGCTTTCACCGGATCCCAGCACTGGTAAGTCCCTGGGAAGTCACCAGGGGCTGATGGGAATTGAGGTGTGAGGGAGGCTCCCTTGCTGCTGCATGAACACACTGGGGAAGCCCTGGCATGGGTGGAACCCGTTGGGTGCGTCTACACTGCATCCGAAGCAGTGTTGACGTAGCCGGGGACTCCTTTGGCCCTGAGCAGCAAGACAAACCTACGACGGGATTGGGGCCAGGCTGTTGTAAGTGGTTTAGTCATGACTGACTTGGGGCCCAGAATCAGGGCCCTGTCTCTGTCTTCCCCCTTCGCATGGCAAACATATTTGGACAAAAAAAAAAAAAAAAAAAAAAAAGGAGGAAAGTTTCCTTTGTGTAACATGAATGTTCCTCTTTTCCATGCTGAGAAGTCTGTTCTGCACTTAGGCTTGCCAGATGCTTTCAACAAAAATCCCAAGCATGGCAAACTTAGTTTGCAAAAATAAAAAGGTTCTGCACCTTTAAATGGACCTATGCTCCTCACTCCCCCAACCCTGCCAGACGGGGCAGGGGAAAATTGTCCCTGCCAGGCTTCCGGACCAGGGATCTGAATACCAGACAGTCCAGGTGAAAACCATTCACCTGGCAACACTGTCTGCGTTGTATCCCTGTCAGCTCATACACCTACCTCCTGGCTGAAAGTCACATCTGACTGTGGAAGAGGGATGCAGGGGGAGGGGGAACAGGATGCAGAGTCCTCTGACACCCCCTTCCCGCTCTGATGACAGGGGGATAATGCAGGGCAGGTGGTAAAACTCAGGATGCCGCCCTTCATAACTATTGTTCTTTTAATATTTGCCTCACGACCTGCCGAGGCTGGGATCCTGGCCCTCCTGTTGGCTATTCAAAGATACTTACCTCAAAGTTTGTGGTGGAACAAAGTGTAGCCTATAGGTGAGCCACTAGGATGCCCAACCCCACCCCCAAGCTATGAGGGGAGACTGAAAGAATTGGGCATATTTAGTTTGGAAAAGAGAAGACTGCGGCTAGGTCTAGACTATGGGGCTTTAGCAGAAAAAGCGATGCAAACTGCGCTCCGCAATTTGCATCGCTTTTTCTGATCGCTTTTTCGGAAGAGGCTTTTCCACTATTTGGTACCTCTGGTATCCCCCAAAAACCCATAGTCAAGACGTAGCCTGAGAGGGGACAGGAGAGCAGTTTTCAAGTATCTAAAAAGGTGTTATAAGGAGGAGGAAGAAAAACGGTTTTCCTTGGCTTCTGAGGACAGGACAAGAAGCAAGGGGCTTAAATTGCAGCAAGGGAGGTTTAGGTTGGACATTAGGAAAAACTTCCTACCTGTCAGGGTGGTTAAACACTGGAATAAGTTGCCTAGGGAGGTTGTGGAATCTCCATCTCTGGAGATATTTAACAGCAGGTTAGATAGACACCTGCCAGGGATGGTCTAGTACAGGGTGTTCCCTCCACCAAGAGACCAGGGCTGCAGGCATCTGCTCCTACACACCCAGCTGTAGGTCTCGCCTCCCTGCTCCAGGGGCAGAGAAACACCCCTCCTCTGCCCCCTCCATGCACCAGGAAGGTGACCCCTCCTGGAGCTCTGATGCCTTTAGAGTGCGCAAGCAGAGGACGGTGAGTAAATCTGTGGGGTTGTCGGGGTTTTCCCCCTAGCTGTTCGGAAGAAGAGCATCAGGCTGCAATGGCTGCTCATGTTCATCACCCGGAGTCAGTCATCTGGGAATGCCCCCACAAACATGATCTACATCAATTCGAAGGTAAAATAATTCCTACGGCTCCACTTCCGGCTCGCCAAGCCGGCGAGGGATTCTCCCTGTCTGACTAGAGGCGCTGTTGAAATACCTAATGCCAAGAAGCATCACCAGGGTTTGCAAGTGTCTGGTAACACTAGGGGCGGAGGAGAACATCCAGGCACTGTGGGTGGTGATGCAGGTCCCCAGGCCCTCTAGCAAGCCAGGCTCTCAGCCAACTGGCTTGACAATGTAGCCAGGATCCCCACGCTCCAAAGCCTGAGTCAGCAACAGAGCTTGGTAGGGCTGGTCCTGGGGTTGGTGCCACCTTCTATCTCACCCACTGCTCCGCACCCAGCCTGCTGGGAGTTCTATGGGGGCAATGACCTCCCCTCACCTTCCTACCCCCTTTCTTACCTGGCGCTACAAAGGCCTCCATCAGGGAAGTCCGTGGAATTGTTCCCAGGGAGCAAATGGGGAAACTGAGGCTGGGAGCAGCTGGCCCAATATCACACAAGCCTGGGAACAGCTCCCAGGGCTCCGGAGTCCCAGACCCAGCCTGCTGGGAGTTCTATGGGGGCAATGACCTCCCCTCACCTTCCTACCCCCTTTCTTACCTGGCGCTACAAAGGCCTCCATCAGGGAAGTCCGTGGAATTGTTCCCAGGGAGCAAATGGGGAAACTGAGGCTGGGAGCAGCTGGCCCAATATCACACAAGCCTGGGAACAGCTCCCAGGGCTCCGGAGTCCCAGAGC